CTTTGCAGGACTGAAGTTATTGAGAGCTTTTACCTGTATAGCACATATACTCATGTAACTGTAACCCCTCCATACACCATTTTTACAATGAAAAACATGAAAAAAACCAAAAAAAATTTATCCTGGACATATACTAATTATTTCAAATGAGGGAAACCGTGGGTTCTGTATGTCTTTGGGTCTGTCTTACTTCACTTATATAATTTTTTCCAAGTCTTTCCATTTCCTAACAAATGGGGCAATGTCATTCTTTCTGATGGAGGTATAGAATTCCATTGTGTATATATACCACCTTTTTTTGATCCATTCATCTACTGAGGGGCATCTGGGTTGGTTCCATATCTTAGCTATAGTAAATAATGCTGCAGTAAACATAGTTGTACTGGTAGCTTTAGTATGGTCTTGTTTGTAATCATTGAATAAAAGCCCAAAAGTGGGATTACTGGGTCATAGGGGAGTTCTATGTGGAAAATAGTATGGAGGTTCCTCAATAATTAGGGATTGTTTTATCACCACTATGGAAGTACTGATGACAATTTCAAAGTTTCACACCTGTGAATGCAAGGACTTTCAAAATGAGGTGCATGAAATTTGAAATACCCTTAACCCCAGTGTACAAACTATTAAATTCCAGGCGTAATGATGCTCATTATAGTAATTTACATTGTTATGTAAATTTACATTGTTATGTCAGTATTTAACATATAACATTGGGCAGAGGATGTGACAGGAAAATCATTGCTTAAAGCCAGTTAGGTTAACTATTGAAACCCTGTCTCATAAAAAGTAATTAACTTATTTACTTATCATCCCATCTCACCCCAAAAGTTTGGATTGTCAAAATATCATTATTACAAACACAAGCATTAATTTGCTTCTGTGGATTTTCAGAAAGACTATAATTGAGCTGCTCCAGAGCAGCTGAATTGTGAGATGATTTTTGAATAAAACACTTTGGGGAAGGTATAAAACCCTTCCAACAAATAGAAGTATTTTCTTTTTATAAAATATACTGTGAGGGGGCGGGGGGAGAATGGGAAGGGATGGGAAGGGGAAACAAAGGAGGAGGCTACAATGCTTGATAAGAAATGTACTCATTATCTTGCCCATGTAATTGTAACCCCTCTGTACAGTATTTTCACAATAAAAAAATGAAAAAAATAAAATAAAATATACTGTGATATGCAATACAAACATTAGGGTCTATTATTATTATTCATGTTTTAGGCAACTATTTTTAGAGTAATTAAAATGAATCAATTGTATATATATTTTCCCTATTTCAGAAGTGTTTTGATTAATTAAGTACAACAGAATATACATGCTCTCTCAGCTATCTCCAAGATGATTACTATAGCACAAAGCCATGTGTCTTAGGCAGGTTATTACAAGTTAGTAAACACTTGACTAAGCTATAGTATATCCAAGAAAATATTTTTATTTCTTAATCACAAAAGGCCCCTTAATCAGAAATAATTCAAGAACTTTACCTAGTATACTTCTTCCTGATATAATCTGACTCCTCTTAAAACCCTTAGGTCTATAATATATGATTAGGTAACAAAGTGCTAGCTGCATAGGTATTGGACCTGTCACACAGTAAAGGAACCATATGCCAAATAGTTACATATAGTTGCCAGAATTTACTAACCAAAGCTGTGCCTTAATTTTAGTAAAACAGAGATCTCATAATAATGAAATTCAGGCAACATGCCTATTTCCCCACCTTTTGTGTGAGGGTTCCACTCTTCCTTAATCAGAGCATTTACATAGTAATCCCTCGATTGGTAATTTAAACTTTTTTGAGCATTATTAATTATTCTAAGTGTTGAGTTTTGTACTGTCAAGGATAGGATGCACAAAAAGAGCTCCACTAGAACCTGTATGTAGGTTTCACATGATAGTTAATCATAACTTTCATTTTTTCCAGAGCTTCAATCATCTTAATAATAAGTGTCTTACTCCAGTTACAGGGAGTATTTTCCACTCATTTAAAAATTGACACTTTGCACCAGCTAATTTATTTCTTTACAGTTTTTATTATCCATCACACTATTTTAAAAACTGCACTTTTAATTTATACCCAGGACTTTCCAAGTTGCACAAATAGACCAGGATGAGATCCTCAAAAATGCCTATCTCTCAATGTGAAAGTCATATAAACAAATATATGTATATATGAATATATACCGTGCCATATAAATATTTACACAAACATATTAACTAAAATGTGGTATATTTACAGAAGGATTTCAATGATCTAACAATTAGTTTACAGTTTAAAAAAATAACAGGAAGCTGAAATTTATGGTGTCAAGAATGGTGGTTCAGGTCAAGAGGAGGAGGATAGACCAATGAAGAGAGGAAGTGCGGTTGTTATCATAACATTCAATGGCACTATGTGAATATAAACTTACTAAAAGTAGAAAGTTAGAGAAATAATGTATTAATAAACTATAAGAGATATAATATTAAAGTATTTGCATTCAGTAAACATTCAAGAAGTCAATGAATATGTAATATAAAAGGAAAGTGACTCTGAGGGATGAGAATCCCAGGAAAACTTTTAACTGGCAGCCATTAGAAACCTAATGAGTAACAATGAAAAAGCACAATTGATTTTCATTCAGATAATATGAAAATGAGACAGATATATAGCAATCAACCCTAAAATAAAACAGCTACATTGACAGGATACTGAAATGAATATTTTCTTGTCAAAACCATAAAAACACAGGAAATAAAAGGAACAATAAAGTTTCTTTTTATTTCATTTATTTAACTTTTTAAATTAGTTGTGCAAATGTGTTTCAATTTATATAGAGAGTTAAGTAGAAAAGATATAAGATTAAAATGCTATAACTTCTATAATCTATATTCCACAAATAAACAAAAAATTATATTATTTGGCTTTTGAATTATTTTTATGGGATACAAAGTAAATGGGGGTTGTTTGGGAGATCTTCAGAAGGGAAAAGTTAGTAGTGAGTGGAGAGGTGTTAGCATCAACATATTGGAATCCACCAAACGCATTTGGAGCAAGCAAAAGACTGTAGGGAGTGGGGGCGTAGTGATAGAAATATAAATGAAGAAGTGAAATTGTTCTAAGTGAATTCTATCCAAATATGAAAGTGTCACAATGAAAGCCTCATCATGTTATAAATTTATGCCAACTCAAAATAAAAATAACATAGTACTGAGTTTTTGAAAAACTTGAAAACTTGTATGGATAATTAATTCATGAATATACGTCTCTCCGAAACCAGAGTCAACTTCAAGTCTCATTCTTAAATAATGTAGACAACTTTTAGACTTCTCCTTGGATTGAAAGGCAAATATCCTAAAGTCAAATACCAGTCATGAGTAACAACTGAACAGATATTTATAAAAGAGAAGCAATCTCTTGACAAGTCCAAATTGAGAACAATTGTTGCATAATAGCTAATAAATATATTCAACATTAGAGAAAATGATTGGAAAATGCAAGCTATCTAGCATAGAATAATGAAAATGATTTCCATTTATTTGAAGGACTTTTGAAGAGGAAAACATTTGGGTTTTTATGAAGTTAAATTAACTTTCCTTTCCTCAAAACTTTCTTAAGTGCCATGGATACCTCTTTGTTGCGCAAGCTGTAGATGAGGGGGTTCAACATGGGCGTGAGGATGGTGTAGAAAGCTGATACCATCTTGTCCTGATCTGGGGTATGGCTAGAGGCTGGTCGCATGTACATGAACATGGCAGCACCATAGTAGAGTCCAACCACAGACAGATGGGAGGAACAGGTAGTGAATGCTTTGCGGCGACTTTCCCCAGAGCTCATGTGGATGACAGCCTGGAGAACACGGGAGTAAGAAATGATGACAACTGAAACTGGAAAGACCAGCATCACCACACAGCAGATGAATAGCAGCTGTTCAAACGCAGATGTGTCTGTGCAGGATAGAGGCAAAAGGGCAGCAACATCACAGAAAAAGTGGTGGATTTCCAAAGAGCTGCAGTAAGAAAATGACAGGGCAAAAGCAAGAACAAGGATGCCATCAAGAGAACCCAGGGTCCAAGAAGCGATAGTCATGAGCACACAGAGTTTCTGGTTCATGAGGATGGTGTACCTAAGAGGATGACAGATAGCTACGTAACGATCATAAGCCATGACAGCCAATAGGAAGCATTCAGCTCCAAGTAGGCTGACATAGAAGAATATCTGGGTGCCACAGGCTGCCAGCGAGATGGAATTGTGGCCAGATAGGTAGTTGAAGGCCATCTTGGGCACAGTGGTGGAGATGAGCATGAGATCCATGAAGGAGAGTTGACTGAGGAGGAAGTACATGGGAGTGCGGAGCTGTCTGTCCAGGTAGATGAGGAGAACCATGACCAGATTCCCCAGGAGGGCTACTGTGAAGATGCCCAGGACCAGGGAGAAGAGGAAGGTGTGGGTTGGGCTGTGATTGAAGATCCCCAGCAGGATAAAGATGGAGTTGAAACTCTGATTTCTCCACAACATCCTGGGTATATCTGCTTATCTAGAAGTTTCAAATAAAGAGTATAAAATGTATTATTTCAGTTTCTAGCACATATTCGGGCAAGGGGCTCTACTGGGCAGTTAAAAAATGATCAGTATGACATTCTCACCGAACTTTAATCCAAATAAGGCATGTGATTCATCAGAGTTTTTATGTGTTTTTCTTCATTCCCCCTACCTGAAGTCTAACTCCAGTAAGCTATTCTTTGCAGGACTGAAGTTATTGAGAGCTTTTACCTGTATAGCACATATACTCATGTAACTGTAACCCCTCCATACACCATTTTTACAATGAAAAATGTACAAAAAAGAGCTAAGAGAGAAAATAATTGACTTTTTAAAAATAAATTTTACAACAATATCTTGTGACTAGACTTTTTATCTCCCTTTGGTTGAAAACGTCTCCAGTTTGGTAGTTGCCGCAAGAGCAAAATTTCTGTTCTTGATTTTTACTTTACATCTTATTCTAGGCTCAGTGAAAACAGGCCAATGGACTGTCTTCCTGGAGACAATGTGTATAATTGAATTTAGAGAAGAAATAAACATCTTATTTATAACATTTCTCTGTCAAACTAGGACAGAATTTTGTCATATATCTATGAACATCTAATATTAAAACAATCTTGTCCAGGGGACAAGAGAATTGCTGTCCTTTTGAGAATAATTTTCATTTTTCCAATTTAATAAGGGGAGGGAAATTGAAGCTGTTTCTTATTTATTTCCTAGATTATTATGTATGTTTGAGAAATTGATTTTTCTTGATAGAGGAAAATATTAGATTGGAATAAACATCTCAAAGTAAAAAATGATGCTTCCTATCTTTAATGTATTGTGTTGAGGACAGACACTTTTTCACTATTGTAAGTGAATGAATGTCTGTGCTAAACAGTTGGAGCAAAGGTAGGGGAACCCAGGATGCATTTGTGTGTGCTTTTTCACAGAACTCTAGAAAATAAACCTGAACTTAGACACTAATTCAGTTCATATATTATACCTACTTCAATCTTGAGTCTAATGAAGTGAAGATCAAAGAACTATTTTGTACTATTTTTAATGTAGAATGTTATAAAAAATGATAATGCATTGAGAAGAAAATTCTTCAACACATCAATTTCTGAAATCCCCTTTGCACAATTACTCAAGGACAAAGGAAAGAGAAGAAAATCAGATGTTCAACATATGGTGACTGCACAGATAATATCTTCAGTCATGGATCCCTTAGAGAGAATACCTGCATACAGAATAAAATACAGGTTAGGAACATTGGGTGGAAAATTTTTGTTGGAAATGTAATCAACAATCAATTCTTTGTAAAACGTAACCAGTTGCTGTCTACAATGCATAGTTTTACTATGCCTGTAAAACATCACAATACCTAAACATTTCCCAAACTAAATATGCTACATTTTGGAACGATATAACATCAGCAAGTCATACACATCTTATGTTTATGAATATAACAGTACATATCTAAGAGTTATAATCTCACTCAAGATTGTCAAAATAACCAGTATTTTCTAAATTTTTATACCAGGGTCTCACTCTGTATAACTTATTTGTCTGAAACTCACAACTGCTGCTTCCAAAGTGCTGGGGTAACACATTTATCAACATGACTCTGCTGTTTCTACCATTTTTTGAACAGCATTATGAGTCACAGTGCCATCTTCATTTAAAAATTGTCACACAGTTATAAATAGTTCGATTGTCCCATATGTTTTTATGTTGATTACTTGTGGAAATTTAAGGAGAATATCAAGGAAGATGATAAAAGGAATTTAAGAACAGAAGTTACTGAATGGAAAATTAAGTTTACAGAAGTGGTAAGCTGTGAACTCCAAGACATGGACACCGGAGGTTTTCCTTTGCTGTCGTTGTTTTTAGTGTATTATTTGTTTTTTTGGTTTCTTTTGTATGTTCTTCTCTAGTATATATGATTATTTGAATTAGGGAAGAGAAGGAGAACAACAGAATGGGGAGACAAAAGGCAAGGGAGGAACCAATGTAACAGCGACATACACAAGGCAAAACGTTGGTAATGATCTGTACAGCATGGTGGGGGTTGGAAGAAGGAAACTAGGAGAAAAAAAATGAGGGAAGGCTAACAAGTTTGACAAGAAATGTACTTATTACCTTGCTTATTTAACTGTAACCCCTCTGCACATTACCTTGACAATAAAAAATTAGGTAATAACAAAGTATTGAGTACAGAAAAGCTGACACAATTAGAGCTCTTGGACTATCACTGGATTTTGGAGAAGAAAAATATAAATCATGAAGCTATATGACCGAACAGGGTATGGGAAAGCGTGTAGTACATGGAGTTCGGCCCTTCCCTAGCTTTATAATTTTGACCAAAATGGAGATCCACTTACTTCAACCTTAGTTTTTCATGACTTCATCTTGATATCATTGATTTCCAGAATTTTATTAAGAAGTGTATTTGACGAATAATTAGAAATGTAAATAAATAAAGCTATTCACTATGTTGTTGCAAGGTGAAATTATCACTTATCCGGTAATTTGTAACCTAAAACTTTACATTAGACAGATTTGAAGATTTTTCAAGTTGAGAAATTCTCAATTCCATTTTAAAGTGGTAAAAGTGCTACTGCATATGTGATTGTTTCTGTGATGTTATTTTGAGATATAGATGTAATATATACATCATATATAAAAAGATATTTGTTTATCATAAGTGATTTAATAACTAATTCAACAAAATAATTTTATTAGTAAAGATAACTTGCCTCTTTTTTCTCCTTTTCATTTTGAAGGATTTAAGATTTGAAAAGAGCTTCAGCATTCACTAGATGTTATGCCCAAGATTAGTCTATGCAAATCATCTCCAATATTCAGGCTGAAAAATCTTCATACTTGTACAACCATGTACCATACTCTAAAATCCTTTTCATGGGTCTTACCTTTTTCTACACCCTCCCCAATCATATACAATAAGCAGAAATGATAAATTTTTGAAGAAGGGTGACAGACTTGCTCTACTCACATGATGCGGGTAATTCACCAAAGAAACCCTTGGTTCTTGGTTCTCTGGAAAATGCCACTCACTCTCTGACTTTAAACCACATTACAACATTTCCTGCTGTGTTATGTAGAGAATAAAGGGCTTCTTAGCCAGAAGGATCCACACTTCTGAAGATCATTCCATCTTTATGGTATAATGGACTTTAGATCCTTCCCTCCACAGAGACTGCAGTCCCTCAGCTTCAATTACCAAATGTTGTTCTGTCTTTCAGAACCTCTCATAGGAAACAACATTTGCATGATCCCCAGACTCTGGTTGTTTCTGCTTATATAATTTTTATCTTTTATCTGCTCTAAAAGTATAATTTATGATTGTTTAAGTTTTAGAACATAAATATTGTTCATTATGAAGACAAATAAAATAGTATAGGAATATTTTTTGCAAAGTAAACTGAGAACTGAATGTATCAACTTGTCCTTTCCTGTCAATACTTAGACCTCTTCTCCATATGTCATATCAGATGCTTAGGCTGAAGTAACTATGGATATACTCACAAAAAATAAGTGTAGTTGAACATAAGTATAACAGTTAACATGGGTACAAAGACTTAAAAGTGCTTTTTCTGTTTGCTGTAACCTTACTAATTTTCTGTAAATTCACTATGGTAATTACGAAAACCCATCTTCAGATCTAGTTTTCCATTTTCTTTCTCCAAAACCTTTCATTTGCCTAAAGGAATGGCATTTCCTAAAAGTATGGACCAGTATCAGTATGCTCCTTTATAATGAGTCCCTTCATGAATGTGAGACCAAACATTCCTGAAGAGGCTTTGTGACTTGCATTTTAACTGATTGGTGTTATTTCTCACAGATAGTCTGATCTTTTTAAATCCACCACCCTATATGTGTTTTCCTCGTTGGATTCTCATCCTCTCACTGTCCTACAAGGATCTTTCCCTGACTGGATTTGGGTTAAGTGTGTCCACTGTACAGTCACACAACCCATGTGAAAACATTTAAAACATACACCTGGCTTTTGACTGTGTTTTTGCTCCTATTTCATTTACATCATTAAAAATAGCTGCAGTCACTATGGAGCACTTGGAATCTAAGTAATTCTGGTTGCTTATAAAGCAAATTTATAAATAATTAATAAGAATTTAACAAAATCTGATTAACGAAAGAGCTAAAATTTCTGAATAATTTCATTGTGTTGAGTTCGTATAACAGCTTTTAGTTTCAAAGCCTATTTGTAATATATATTTGTTTTATACTAGAGAATTTTTTTCCTTTACCCAATATAACATTACGTTTCTAACTAGGCATTGAGCCTTAACTGAGGATATATTTTGCGATATGCTTTGCCTTATTCACCGCATACATAGTATATTGTTATATCCTTATGGAATATTATGATCTAGTAATATTCCTTTGATAATTTGTATTGAACCCTCAGTCCTTTCCTGTACATAATACAGGGAATAATTGATTGCACATGGTACATTGAATGTTCATGTGATTTACTCCACATGTAAAAAACTAAGCTAAGGAGAAATAGACACAGAGAAAAGGAAAGTTATCAATGAGAATGCAATTTTTGTTTATAGTTCATTTTCCACTTAGTATACACCACCAGGTTTATGCAACAAATTTCCTGAGAGGATAGCGGAAGTAAACATCTGATGGTACACATCAGTCTCTAGTCCAGGTGTTATCCACCAAGGTGAATTCACATATTCAGAAAAATTAATACATCTCTGGTTTCCTTGAGAAAATTAGTGTCACCATTACAGATGTAAAAAATGCAAGCAGAACATTAGTAACCCACACCTGTAATACTAAATACTCGGGAGACTGTGATTCAAAGCGTTAGTGTGAGTAGAAAATTATATGAGAATCCATTTTCAACTAACCAGCGAAGTGCTAGACTAGAAGTGTGGTTTAAGTGGTAAAGCACACCAATAAGCAAGTCAAGTGATGGTAGTGGACCTATGAGA